CGTCACTGACCAGTAATGACACTCCCACGTTAATCGTCACTGACCAGTAATGACACTCCCACGTTAATCGTCACTGACCAGTAATGACACTCCCAGGTTAATCGTCACTGACCAGTAATGACACTCCCAGGTTAATCGTCACTGACCAGAAATGACACTCCCAGTTTAACCATCACTGACCAGTACAGACACTCCCAGGTTAACCATCACTAACCAGTAGAGACACTCCCAGTTCGCAGTACATTGTTCCCTCCATCTCGTCTTGCAGGTCGGGAGGCCCAGTAACATCGGCCAGGCTCAGCCAATCATTGACCAGCTGGCAGAGGAAGCACGTGCCTTTAACAGGATCTACGTGGCGTCAGTTCACCCCGACCTCTCTGACGATGACATCAAGAGCGTCTTTGAGGCCTTTGGAAAGATAAAGTCCTGCATGCTGGCCCGAGAGCCGACCACCGGACGCCACAAAGGCTACGGCTTCATCGGTGAGCATTTATAACCACGAGACTGACGGTGGAGACAAGTGCCAGAGGACACAACACGTTACATGTCCTCAGACACATTCAGGTTTTCAACAGACGAGATGCTAACTGTGTGAATGAGATACCGACTATGTGAACTAGATGCTAACTGTGAATGAGATGCTAACTGTGTGAATGAGATGCTAACTGTGTGAATGAGATGCTAACTGTGAATGAGATGCTGACTGTGTGAATGAGATGCTAACTGTGAATGAGATGCTGACTGTGTGAGCGAAATGCAGACCATGTAAATGAGATGTCGACTGTGTAAACGAGATGTCGACTGTGTAAACGAGATGCCGACTGTGTGAATGAGATGCTGACTGTGTGAACGAGATGCCGACTTTGTGAACGAAATGCTAACTGTGAATGAGATGCTGACTCTGTGAATGAGATGCTAACTGTGTAAATCAATCAATCAATTTTATTTATAAAGCCCAATATCACAAATCACAATTTGCCTCACAGGGCTTTACAGCATACGACATCCCTCTGTCCTTATGACCCTCACAGCTGATCAGGAAAAACTCCCCAAAAAACCCTTTAACGGGGAAAAAAACGGTAGAAACCTCAGGAAGAGCAACTGAGGAGGGATCCCTCTTCCAGGACGGACAGACGTGCAATAGATGTCGTACAGAACAGATCAGCATAATAAATTAACAGTAATCCGTATGACACAATGAGACAGAGAGAGAGA